GATAGAAACATCAATGATGAGAGGGAATCATTGATTGGCTGCCTCCTGCATGCCCCCCACTGGGGACCGAGCCGCAACCCAGGCATGTGTCCTTGTTCGGAATTGAACCCGGGACCCGTCAGTCTGCAGGCCAATGCTCTATCCACTGAACCAAACTGGCTAGGGCTCATTCTACTATTAGCAGTTTTAGAAATTATTATTTTTTTTGAAGAAAGGGGTCTGATGCTAAGAAAAAGTTTGGACTCTGTAAAGAATGGAATAGGAGTTGTAAAGAACTGTCGTTTTGCCTAGGTTCAAATCCTGATCCTGCCACTTCCTTGTGGTGTGACCGTGGACAAGTGAGCTAACCTCTCCGAGCCTCAGTTTCCTCATCTAGAAAATGGGGGTGGGGATAATATCTTCCTCAAAGGGTTGCTGTGAGGGTTAATGAATTAATGCGTTGAAATTGCTCAGAACAGTGCCTGGCACAGAATGCTTAATAGGTGTTTGTGATTGTGATATAATACAAAAGGCAAAGGATTTATGCCATCCGGGGAGAAACCAGAATATGTGTGATATAATACAAAAATATATTTGGTCTTTATCTCCGTTCCTGGCCCAGAGTTCCTAAAACTCTTGGCGTGTCCTCAGTGATAGGAGTGTCCCTTGTCCCTCGGGAGTCCCTTTTGATAATCCCTTCCTCAAAGGGTTGCCGTGAGGGGACCCCCAGGATAGACTCAGGATGCTGCTGATCGCCGGGAAGACCAAGTGATTGGAGAGTGGAAACTGTCAGCCTGGAGACTGAGCTCTATGAAAACTCCTGAACAGTGAGAGCCAGAGCAGCTTCTGGGTTGGTGAGCCCTCTAGGAGGGTGGTGTGTCCCAACTCCACAGGGACAGAAGTACCCAGGACCCTTTCAGACATTGCCCAATGTACCTCTTCATCTGGCCGCTAATTTGTAGCTTTAAATATATTTGTATCAATATATATATTATTGATTTCAGAGAGGAAAGGAGAGGGAGAGAGAAACATTAATGCTGAGAGAGATCATTGATCAGCTGTCTCCTGCACGCCCCACACTAGGGATGGAGCCTGCAACCAGGGCATATGGCCTGACCAGGAATGGAACGTGACCTGGTTCATAGATCCACGCTCAGCCACTGAGCCACGCCAGCTGGCCCATTTGTAGCTTTTATAATAAACAGTGAAGGTAAGTAAACTAACTTCCTGAGTTCTGCGAATTTGTGTACAAGCAAATTATGGAACCTGAGGAGGTGGTGGTGGGAACTCTCGGTTTCTGGCTGGCTGATCAGAAGTAGGCGTGGCTGGGGCCCAGCATGGGAAGAGGAGGCAGTCTGTGGCACTGAACCCTGACGCTGCGGCCCTACCCTAATCCAGGCAGTTAGTGCCAGAACTGAATTAAATTGTTGGACAACCAGCTGGTGTTGGAGAATTCGTTGATAGCAGAAAACACCCCCAGAAACTATACTTAGTGAGCACGTTCAGTCCTCTTACCTGGACGAAGGAGATATAGGTTTGACATTTTGGCTATCTGATGAGGAAACTTTCTCAGAAGCTTTCAGTGTTTTAAGCCCCAGAGGGACTAAGATTCAACCACTGCCTCGCCCTAGCTTAAGCCAAGGGAGGCACTTTTACCTCCCCAGGAATCTCAGCGCTTCAGCAGCTCCTACTGGGCCTCTTCCTGTATGACTAAATTCTTCATTTTCCCCACAAACTTTCCCTAGTTGAAGGGTTAGTTATCCTCTGTGTCGACTACTCCAAGCACCTCCTGACGTCATCCCCAGCTCTGAACCCCCTCCAACTTCTTGCCTGAGACAATTCCATCTGTTCCTATAATGAGATCACCCTCCCCCTTAGAACCCTGGACTCTCCAGTGGTAAAGAGGGCACAAGTTACACTAGGGCCTGAGGCTGGGAAGACCATCCATTCTCCACATATTTGCTGACTGCTGATATCATCAGAGGCCTATGGGATATAGAGGTAATTTATAACAGTCACTGTCCTCGTACAGCTCACAGTCTATTGGGGAACGAAACAAAATCAGGCAAGTACAGAAAATCTCAGTAAAAGCTGTAAGAAAGGTATCACAGACTACCTGTGAGCCCAAAGGAAGGGCCCTTCCCCCAAATCGCAGCGTTAAGGAAGGCCTCCAGGAGGAAGTTGAGATTTGAAATTTAAATATAAATTCTTCAGGCAAGAATTTGTATGGGAGATGCAGTCTGGACAGAAAGAACATAATGCAAAGCCCGGAAGTGAGAGATGGCATGGTGTGTGCGTGGTTCACCCGGATAAGACTTGTAATAGGTGGGAATGACCCAGAGGCGGAGGCTAGCTCTGCTGAGCTTGGCCAGGCCATCCCTGTTCCCACAAGACAGGCTTAAGAGTGAGTCAGCTAGCCTGGCTGATGCGGCTCAGCGGTTGAGTATTGACCTATGAACCAGGAGGTCACGGTTCGATTTCCGGTCAGGGCACATGCCCAGGTTGCGGGCTCTGTCCCCAGTAGGGGCTGTGCAGGAGGCAGCGGATCAATGATTCTCTCTCATCATTGATGTTTCTACCTCTCTCCCTTCCTCTCTGAAATCAATAAAAAATAAAACATAAAAAAAGAGGGAGTCAGCCAGGCCTTGGAACAGGTGTCACAGGCAGGATAGAGCCAAAAACTTTGCAAGGGCTGGTCACAGCCCCAGTGGAGTCTATAAGGATTAAATGAGACAATCTATGTCAAGTGCCTGGCTTAGAGGGAGGACCCAATAAATGGCAGCTATTATTGTTATTATTATTGAATTGCATTGATAGCGTCACAGAAGCAACTGGCAGAGACTGGGGTCTGGAAGAGACCTCAAAGAGGACCTGGTAGAGAACTGTTACAGCTGGGCTGATCCTTTGCGGGCTGATTTGTTATTCTTTTGTGGGAAATGAACTCTTTGGGGAATCTGATGAAAGCTGTGGACCCTGTTCCCAGAGAAAAAGCACATCTGCTCATGCGAGGCTTTGCATATTGTTTCAGGGACTTCACAGACTCCGGGAAGGCTGTCTAGTCATGGAACCTGGCGGGACCCGGCTGTTACTCCCCCGAGCAGGGCTGAGAAAAGTTCCCACTATTATCTCAGCTTGTTATACCAAGTGAAAACCTCAGCACATGTTGTTGCAATTCTGCGAGTACCCTGTGTACTTTAAAATACTAGGTGGCAAGCGAAGGAATGAGTGGAGGAGGGAGACCAGTGAAGAGACCGTTTCAGTCATCCAGGGGGGAGAGGGCTGGCTTTAGCCGTGCAAGGCCCTCCCTGGGCTTGGTTTCGTGCTCTGCCGTGTCATCATTCTTTTTTTTTTTTTTTTTTAATATATTTTATTGATTTTTTACAGAGAGGAAGGGAGAGGGAGAGGGAGAGAGGGAGAGAGATAGAGAGTTAGAAACATCGATGAGAGAGAAACATCGATCAGCTGCCTCCTGCACACCTCCTACTGGGGGTGTGCCCGCAACCCAGGTACATGCCCTTGACCGGAATCGAACCTGGGACCCCTCAGTCCGCAAGCCGACGCTCTATCCACTGAGCCAAACCGGTTTCGGCGTGTCATCATTCTTAATTCGTTAACAAGGAGCCTTGCATTTGCATTTCGCACTGGACCCCACAAACCACGTAGCCAGTCCTAGGAGTAGATAAGCGTGCATTTGAGTGCTCACTATGTAAGCAGCTTCCAAGTGGCAGTGCTGGGCCTGGAGCCCAGGCTGTTCGGGTCCAAACCATGGTCTGAATCTATATCATACTGCCTTCTGAGTCAAGAGGGCTGGTGAGAGTGGAGAGGAAGGGCAAGAATAAGGAACGTTCTGCCAGGGCTTCTTGTTTTAATGACATTTCCTCACTAGACTGTTCTCGCAGTGAGTGCGGAGGCTGGTGCACCGCCTTCTCCCCAGTGGAGAGCCTGGCACATAGTAGGTATTTCATAGATACTAGCTGGAAGGTGCAGTGCACAGGCCAGAAGGGATAGAGAAGCCTGGAGGGAGGATGAGGGATCCTACCTGAGTGATGCTAATCATCAAGATGACTATGAGAAGTTAGGTGTGGTCCTGGCCTTCCATACTCCAAAAGGTTGTGGGTTCGATTCCTGGTCAGGGGACATACCTAGGTTGCAGGTTTGGGGTGCATAAATAGGCAACCGATTGATGTCTCTCCCTCTATCTCTAAAATTAAAAATATATATATATATATCCTCAGGTGAGGATTTAAAAAACAAACAAACTTAGCTGTGGGGCAGCGATGGTTAAATGGATTTGGGATGTGTTTCGGAGTTGAGAGCTTTTGGGGGGGGGTCTTGGAGAAGGCAGTCTCCTAGAGCAAGCCCTTTCCCATTCCCTTCCCCACTGCCCCCTAGGCACACCTGCCCCTGAGAGCCTGACTGGGATGCCCGATCAGTGGGTTCTGGAACAGCAGGGCTCATTTCTGGATCCCAGGGCTGCCGGGGATGTGTATGCAGTCAGGGCTCAATAAATGCCAGTAGAAAAAAAGAGGGAAGGAAGAAAATGTGACGAGGCCTTCAGGAGGAAAGCTGGGACGAGGAGCAGATCTGGGAACTGGAGTGGGAAATGGAGGGCCAAAGTTTGAACCCCAAGACCCTAAAAACAGGCTGGACAGAGGGGTGTCCAGAGCCCTCGGGAGGCCAGGCACAGGGCTAAGTGCTTTGTTCACATAAATACATTTCATCTTCATGGCAACACTGAAAAGACATTATTATTCCTACTTTGTTTAAGAAAACTGAGACCCAGGGAGGTGATGTGATTTGCCCAAGGTCACACAGAGAGTGAGCAAGCCCTGAAGTCCGGGTTTGACCGAGGGCTGTCAGCCCCCAAGCCTGCGCTTTTCCCACTTCACTCCCCGCCTCTCTCCCCCAACTCTCCACTGCCCTACCCCTTCCCACCTCCTCTCGCCTCCCGCGGCCGCCCCGCCCCACCTCTCTCCTTCCTCCCTCCCTCCCTCCCACCCTCTCGGTGGTGGCGGCGGCAACGGCGGAGCCACGTGGTGGGGCCGGGAAGCCGTGGCCGCGGAGCGCCCGGGCGGCTGCCCCAGCTGGGCAGTGCTGCTCCGCGCCGCGCCGCGCCGCCTTCGGTGTCTGCGCTCCCCGCTCCGCGCTCCCCGCCGGCCGCCCCGGGGCAGGAGGCGCGCCGGGCGCCCGGCCGGTCAGACAAAGGAGGCGCGGCGCGGCGGAGCCAGCGCGCGGGTGGACGGACCATGGACTCCGAGCGCAAGCGGCCCGCCCCGGCCCTGAGGACCCCGCGCTCCTGGCCCCGGCCCTAAGCGCCCGGCCCCGCCGCCCGGGGCGCCCAGCGGGAAGGACGCGGAGACGGCCCGGGGCGGAGGAAGCGGCGGCCGCCGAGCTAGAGGGGCGCCGCGGCGGACGGCCTGCGCGGCCCCTGGAGCCATGGGCAAGTGCAGCGGGCGCTGCACGCTCGTCGCCTTCTGCTGCCTGCAGCTGGTGAGCGCCTCGCTCCCGGGCGGCCGGAGCAGGGTGGGGCGCGGCGGGGCGGGGTCCCTGGGCGTGCGGGTGGGTGCTGTGTCTGTGTGTGTGTCTGCTGAGAGTGCCCGGGTGGGGGGTGGTCTGGAGTCACGGAGCGGACGGGCGGAGCCAGCTCCCGCTGGCCGTGCTGTCTCTTTGTGTGCGCTTCTCGCCCGGCGCTCCCCAGTCCGGGAGTGCGCCCTGCGCGCGAGTCCCCGGCCCGCCCGGCGCCTGGGGCTCCACGCGTCGGGCCTCCTGTTGCGAGGTGCGCTGTGGGACTGTGGCTGGCGATGTGACCCGGGCTGGTTTGTGGATCCGTTGTTATTCCTGCCGTGTGTTTTCCTAGATCACTCGTTTGTTTGCATGGGTCTCCCTGCCTCTGGGCTTCTGCCTCTGGTCTCCGCCCCGTGAATGTTTCTCACAAAGTCTCAGCTCCTGTGCGTGTCTCTCTGGGTTTCTCTTTGGCAGATCTCTAGATCTGTGACCATTCTGGTCCATGTTCATCCGTGTGAGTGACGATCCTGTTGGGATCTTAGACTCCAAGACCCGCTCGCTCCTTTGTGCTGTTTCTGCCTCCCTTCACCCCCCTGACTGAGCAGGCCTGGGAATGGAGAACCACCTCCCTGGAAAGGGTCACACGGCGGTGCCAGGTACTGGCCAGTCTGACTAACCAGGTGCTGAACCGCCCTCCCTGCTTTGACTGTGGCCACTGTGGCATGGGTGTTCCACCAGCCATCAGCTCCACCGGGGCATCAGGGGTGAGGACAGGCAGAGCAGTCCTCTCTCAGGGCTGGCACTGATGGAGTTGGGCATTCGGGGGTGCTCTGGGAGGATGGGAGCATTGAGGACACTGCCCAACCCCAGCTTAGGGAACTCGGGTTCTTGTCTCTGGGAGGCTAGTGGAGTGAATTCAGGAGCTGAAGGGAACTGACTGCCCTTCAGTTCAGGCTCTGGCAGGTGGATTTGGGAAGGTGCTTAATTAAGGAGAGGCCAGGGTCTTCTGCCTACCCTAGAGCTGAGGCCCCACAACAAGGGATTGTTGAAGCTGTGCTGCTCCTCTGGTTAGAGACGCATGGGAACCTCCGTGGACAAAACTCAAGTCTGAATGTGAGTTATGCCTGCCTCCGTGACCTGGTCTCCACTTTTGCCTGTGCCATGGCCCCTTCTGCACCATAGGTGTGCACAGTAATACAGAGTGAAGCTTTGAGCCTGGATGGGCAGACCTCATTCATCTTGTTTCTCACCTCTTGGGGGCACCAGCCCCAAACTTGCCATCCATGGACCTGCCCTCTTGGGCAGTGGTAGAAACAGCCTAGACTAGAAGACTGTAGCCCTGCTCCCAGCTGTGGGAGGCAGGCAAGTGACTCCCCTCACTTGGCCGTCTTGGTCTGCCGATCTGTAATTGCTCATCCTTGAGGGTTGCAGAGGAGATTAATTAAGATCAGGTAGAATGGAAACTCCAGAAGGGCAGACGTGATCCGTTTTGTTCCCTGCTAAATCCCCAGCAGCTGGAACAGTGCGTGGCATTCCATTAATATTCGTAAAACAAATGAATGAATCCGTTATTTTGGCAACTCCTGGCGCACAGTAGAAACACCCTTCTTTATCTGCTCTGAGGAACATAAAATGCCAACAAGTGCTAAAACTTTTCAGAAGATTCTTTTTTCTGTACTTGTTCGTGTTTAAATTTTAAACTAGAGCTTTTAGCAAAGTAATACACACATATTGTAAAAATGAATAAATCAATAAGTAATCAAACAGAATAGAAGATAAAGGTAAGTTTCCTTGTATGTCCAGTTTCACACCCCAAAGATAAGTACTATTAATAGTTTGTCCCAGGCTCATTCTGTTGATGATAATAACAATAGTTAGCTTTGCCCTAGCCAGTTTGGCCCAGCGGGCGGATAGAGCGTCGGCATGTGGACCAAAGGGTCCCAGGTTCGATTCCAGTCAAGGGCACACACCTTGGCTGCAGCCTCCTCCCAGACCCAGGCCCTAGTTGGAGCATGTGCAGGATCTAACCAATAGATTGATGTTTCTGTCTTTCCCTCTTTCTTCCACTCTCTCCAAAAGATCAATGGAAAAATATCCTTAGGTGAGGATTAACAAAAATAAATAAATACAAAATAAAAGATGAGGGTTGCAATGATAAATTATTTTTTTAAAAAAAATAACAATAGTTAGCTTTAGGGAGCGCTTACTAGGTGTTTGTAAGCACTCTCCCACCTATTAACTCATTAAATCCTCATAATGACCCTATAAAGTAACTTGCCCAAAGTTCTATAGGTAGGAGCCAGGCTTTGCAGCCAGGCAGCTGACCAGCATCCTCTGTTGTCTTACTTATAAAATACTAGTAAGTAGTTCTGGCCCTGATTAAGTCAGGAGTCCCTTGGGAAGTGCTTACTTCTCGCTCTAGAGCAGCGGTTCTCAACCTGTGGGTCGCAACCCCTCTGGCGGTCAAACGACCCTTTCACAGGGGTCGCCTAAGACCATCTTGCATATCCGATATTTACATTACGATTCATAACAGTAGCAACATTACAGGTATGAAGTAGCAACGAAAATAATTTTATGGTTGGGTCACAACATGAGGAACTGTATGTAAAGGGCCAGAAGGTTGAGAACCACTGCTCTAGAGAGATGAGGTGGTGAAGGAAGGTAATCTCCCTGCCTCCCACTCACCTGCTTCCATAGCTCTCTCGAGCTAAGCTAAGTCCCACTCTTCCACATAGAGGGCTCACCAGCTCGAGGGGATCTGGAGTTAGACAGGACCTGGCTGGGATTCTGAATCTCCTGTGTCTTGGCTGGGCAGCCTGTGAGGGTTACATGAGATAATTTGGGGAGGTGCTCAGAAGAGGGACTTGAAAATTGGTCTCTTGGCTCTGTTGCTCTGTCTGAGCGGATTGCAGAGTGAGTCCCTTCAGTTGTCACCCCCAGGAGCCTCTGCTCCCTGGCAGCTTCCGTAAAGTGCTCCCAGATGCTGGCATTCACCAGCCTGACATTATCCTAGGACCCAGGGAGAAGGGAGTCTGTTTTCTCACCCAATGGAAAGGGTCAGAGAAGGAAGAGGCTGTTTGTTTCTCAGCTGAAAACTTTACAAGATGAACTGTAGGAGAAGCAGGTAGGGGCTATACCATTCAGGTGGACTCTATAGAGGCAAGGCCTTGGAGTTTGATAGGTCAGACCTGGGTTTGAGTCCTTCTTTTTTATTTTTATTTATTTATTTTTTAAATATATTTTATTGATTTTTTACAGAGAGGAAGGGAGAGAGATAGAGAGTTAGAAACATCGATGAGAGAGAAACATCGATCAGCTGCCTCCTGCACATCTCCCACTGGAGATATGCCCGCAACCCAGGTACATGCCCTCGACCGGAATCGAACCCGGGACCCTTCAGTCCGCAGGCCGATGCTCTATCCACTGAGCCAAACCGGTTTCGGCGGGTTTGAGTCCTGACTGTCTCTTTCTAGCTGTGATCTCAGGCAAGTTGCTTACCCTCGCTGAGCCACAGTTTTGTCATCTGTTAAGTAAGGTTGTTGCCAGGATTGAGTGCTCATAATGAATTTAGCACTGTGCCAAGCACAGAACGAACCTTAGCTTTTTATTGCTATTATCTTAATGATGTATATACCATGGAATGCTCTCCTGGAGTTGTGGCCCAAGTATCCAGGTGCCCCCCTGCACTCTTCCTTTGTGGGAAGCAGCAGGTTTTGGGCCCTGAGCTGAGAGGCAGGAGGCCTGATTCAAGCCCAACTCTGTCACTGACGTCCTGTGAACTTGGACAAGCCTCGGTTTTTCCATTTGTAAAAGGGGAAGAACCATTAGCCTCTGTCTCTAGGGTCCCGCCAGTTCTGCCCATCAGGGACTCTGGGATGAGGTCTGGGCTGGCCTGGAGGTTTCGATGCATCACAATCTGGTTCCATTCTGTAGAATATCTTTTTTTAAAAAAAATATTTTTATTGATTTCAGAGAAGAAGGGAGAGGAAGAGAGAGATAGAAACATTAATGATGAGAGGGAATCATTGATTGGCTGCCTCCTGCATGTTGGACCGAGCCCGCAACCCAGGCATTTGCCCTTGACTGGAATCGAACCTGGGACCCTTTGGTCCGCAGGCCGACGCTCTATCCACTGAGCCAAACCAGCGAGGGCTAGCATATCTTTTTTAAAAAAGCATTATTTTATTGATTTTAGAGAGGAAGGAAAAGGAAGAGAGAGATAGAAACATCCATGATGAGAATCATTGATCGGCCGCCTCCTGCACACCCCATATAGGGGTCGAGCCCACAAACTGGGCATGTGCCCTGACTGGGAATCGAACCATGACCTCCTGGTTCATAGTTCAATGCTCAACCACTGAGCCACACCAGCCCGGACATCTGTAGAATATCTTGGGTCCCTTGGTTTCCTGGCTCCTACTTGATGTATCATCTTGACATTATTAATGCTATTCACTCCCTAATTTTAATGTCTATCCCTTTTCCTTCCCCCATCCAGACCCTGCCTTTCTTTCCACCCCCTTCCTGAAACCTTACAGGCCACTGTTCTTCCCGTAAGAGGATGAACCGAGGGGATTTGCCCAAGGGAGTCATCATCAATTTCTTCATCATCGCCATTATTACTCCCATTTCTGGAATCCTGTGCTAAGCACTTTATACGCATTACCTCATTTAACCAAATGAGCTTACATATGTAAAGTGCTTGGCAAAATGCCTGGTACATGTTAGATGGCTGATAAAAGTTAGCTGTTTTACTGTTTTTATCCTTCTTACTGTTATTCCACATGATGGGAGAGATGTTCTTATCCCCTTTTTCAGAGGAGGGAATTGAGGCTCAGAGAGGCGATGAGATGTGCCCGCGATCACTACGCTAGTCAGTGACGGAACCAGGATCGAGCACTCTTCTGCCTGAGCAGAGAGCCACCCTCTCCGCCCTGTGCCCCGCTGCGGCTCACGTTTAAGCAGTGTGCGACCTCAGACAG